ATGTATGTACATGTAGGGACTTTTAACAGACAGATGGAAATTGTAGGAAAGAGTCCAGTAGAAATTCTTGAGTTAAACAGTTTTTGAGATGAAGGATTCCTTTGAGGGGTTCATCAGTAGACTTGATCTAGCTTAGGAAAGAATCAGTGAGTAAAAGTTACCCAAACTGATACACAAAGAGAAAAAAAAGGGGAAAGAAATACAACAAAGTTCCCAAGATCTGTGGGGCAATTTCAAAGAGTAGATCTAAGAAGAAGACTGAGAGAACAGGGAAGAAGAAATTTTTGAGAGATAATCGCTGAGAGTATTCCAGAAATAATAAAAGACATCAAACCAGAGATTCAAGATTTTGAGAAGCCTAATCCAGATGAAAAATAGCAACAACAAACAAACCATATTCAAACTGATAAAAATGAAAGGAAAAGATAACATTTAAAAGGCCATTCAGAAAACCAAACGTCACATACAGGTATAATGATAAGAATTACAGCAGACTTCTTGTCTGAAACTCTGTAAACCAGAGATAATGGAGTGACATCCTCAAAGTACTCAGAGAAAAATCAAGCCAGAATTCTATGTGCAGCAAAATAACTTTTAATAATGAAGGCAAAGTAAATTTTTGTAGCCATACAAAAACTGAGAGAATTTGTTAAAATACTTAGAATAGTTTCTGGCACATAATAAATATTATTTGCTGCTGCTATTATTATTATTATTACTTTTTTATTACCACAAATACCTTGTTTGTTTGCCACAGTAATTCTGTTACCTAGTGTAAATGACTCTTGACACTTCTTTTTCAGCTCTACTGAAGTTGATGACATGATTCGTAAATCTACAAACCTGTTGCTAACCAGGACTCTGAGTAACTCTCTGCAGAATGTCATTAAAAGGAAAAATATTGGGCTTACTGAGGTAAATCTGCTGTTAATGAAGGCAGTCAAGCCAATATGTGAACAGATGTCCTACATTCTGGGCCTTATGTGTGAATTAATTATAACTTTCTACATGGTCTATCATGGTTTTCCTGATAGGAAAGTGCAAAATGAAATCCCTTCTTCTTTTCTTTGGTCACCTTTGAGAAATCAATTATTTTTTCTAAGAAGTCATTTTTTTTCCTCTTTCAGTGTTTTTACTAGCTTAACTAGTTTTTTTTTTTTCTGTAGTTGTTGCAGTGAATTTGTATTATTGCCATTGATCCTATAACATATTTTTGGTTGGTGTCAGGTTAGGGCAATAGCTATGCTAATTGTCTGGCTGGGGCTATTGTTGGACTCTTGCCATCGTAGCCGATTGTATTGTTAAAGCAATTTATAACTAAAACCAAAATGTTTCATTATTTTAGTTATACTAAGTTTCTATTTGTATTGTCAGGGCTAGGGCTCAGACTTTTCAAACCCGTTGTACAGATGTAGTCACCAGACCCCTCACACACAGGTCCATGCTAGGTAATTGGGAAAGATCCTAGGAGCCATTGGCAGACGACATGAGCTCAGTCCTCAGCAGTAGCAGCAGAAGCAGCAGCAGTGGTGGCCTCTCAGGGCATCCTGGGGGCACTGGCAGCAATAGCTTGCAATAACAGCCTCCAGCCGCAGAACTCCCCATGGCCCCCCACTCCCTGGGACATCCTGGGGTGGGGTAGGGGGATCCTGAGGATCAGAGTCACTTGTCCTTTATACTTAAGTCCATAACCCATGACACCTGGGTGCACACGTGCAATTAGACAATAACTAAGGAAAACCTGGACACGTGCGTGTTTACATCAAATGCTCAACAGGATTCTAAACATCTGAGGGGCCCTGACCATTTTCCTTCACTTTCCCTACAGTTTTTGTTTTTGAGAATAGTAAATTACTCTTTATCAGCATGTAATCTGTTTTGCAAAAGGACTGGTGTAGGGAAATTGAAGGAAAATGGTCAGGGCCCCTCAGATGTTCAGAATCTTGCCTACCATTTGATGTAAATATGCATGTGCTCCCAGGTGTTCCTTGGTTATTGTCTGTAGTTGCTCATGTGCACCCAGGTGTCCTGGGTTATGGACTTAAGTATAAAGGAAGAGTAGCTCTGATCCACAGTGCCTTCAGTCCCCGGGATGCTCCCAGGGGGCCACAGGGAGGCTGCTACTGCTGCTGGAGGCTGTTGCTGCAAGCTGTTGCTGCAAGTTGTTGCTGGCAGTGTCCCTGATAGGTCACCGCTGCTACTGCTGAGGACTGAGCTCGTGTCATCTGCAAATGGCTCCCGGGATCTTTCCCAATTATCTAGAGTGGACCTGTGTGTGAGGGGTCTGGTGACCCGGTCTATACAAAGGGTCTGTGGGCCCTAACCCCTAGCCCTGACAATACATATGCAAACTTAGCATAACTAAAATAATGAAATGTTTTGGCTCTAGTTATGAATTTCTTTAACAATACAATTAGCATAGCTATTACTGTAACCCTAAAGGGCAACCCCAACAACTGGAGATTTGGGATTGAGGAAATGTGAGGGAAAGGCAAGAGTCAAATTTATGAGGAAGCTTATGTAATCTCATAAAGGGAGGGTGGCATTGTACATATGTTGAGGATAGGGTCTTGGCAAACTGAAGATTTGGCCCATTGGGTATGTAGTCCTAAAATTTAGAAAGATGTGAAGTTTCCTTTCTCTTGGAAACCCAGGATTGCATCATAGCCTCAACATGTCACTCATTGGAAGCTATAGTGCCAAAAATGAGAGCTTAGAGGAATTTTTTTCACAGAAAAAGGGAAAGGCTTTTGGCCATCTGTTTTACTTATAGAGATGGTATGATTTGAAAGTCTGCTGCTCTCAGGAGAGCTGGCATTTTCAAATAACACCGTCAAGGATTATGGTGAAATTTAGCAAATGTTTAGAGATACTGACTTGTAGGCAAAGACAGAGGGTGGCCAAATGAGCATCTACTTCTGATATTGGAGAAATTTTCTCTTTCTCTGCATTAAGATTAAAAAATATTATATCATAAGGTGGGACTTTGGCAGTGATTAAATTCTACTTATAACACTATTTTTTTTTCAATTGAGAATCACCTCAGACATTATTTAGGACAGTCTCCTCATTTTGCAGAGCTTCTTTTCTATTACCAGGTATGGAAATATTAAATATTGCCTTTATGTGTCTTAAAATGGGCTAATTTCTATTCATAAAAACATAGGAAGGCTACAAAAAAGAAAGTTGGAGTAAAAGTTAGGAAATCCCCCCTGCTTTAGATAGATTATCCTGTTCTCCTTTTCTCAATCTGAAGTGTAGGGAAAATATAGGAAAATGGTCTGGGCCCCTCAGATGTTCAGAATCTTGCCAAACATTTGATGGAAATATGCACGTGTGCCCAGGTGTTCCTTGGTTATTGTCTAATGTAATTGCGCATGTGCACCCAGGTGTCCTGGGTTATTGGACTGAAGTATAAAGGACAAGCTGCTCTGATTCACACTGCCTCCTGCCCCTGGGATCCCCCTGGGGGGGACCACAGGGGGGCCACCACCACCGCAGCTGCTGCTGCTGCCAAGGAACCTGACGCCTGAGCTCGTGTCATCTGCCAATATCTCCCAAGATCCTTCCCAATGACCGAGCATGGACCTGTGTGTGAGGGGTCTGGTGACTCCATCTGTACAATGGGTTTGAAGGGTCTGTGACAACCCCTAGCCCTGACAATACAATTGGAAAACTTAGTGTAACTAAAATAATGAAGCGGTTTGACTTTAGTTATGAATGGCTTAACCATACAATTGGCGTAGTCACTTACGCGTACACAGTGGCAGGAAATTTATTTGTTTCAAGAAGTATCTCTTCATTATAACTCATGATATAACTCTCCTTATGCCATTTAATTTGGCAGTCTCTTAAAATCCATTTAAAATAATAGCATAGCAGGAATATGGTCTGATAGAAATAGCATTGACCTCAGAAGACTCGAGTTTACTTGTGGCTCTGCCATTGGTTTACTGTGACATCTTGAGAAAGGCCTAACTTCTTAGCTTGGGTTTTAGTCACCCCATTGTCCTTTTCAAGGGCACTGTACAGATCAGGTAATGATAGGAAGAACCAGTAGGAGCTTATCAAGAAAGAACCGTGTCATAATTCTTGGCACTCTTTCATTGAATGCTAAACATTATTCCTAAGTTGTTTGGTGTTTTTAGACAAATGTACTTTCATCATCAGTATCTTTGCATATTTATTTTAGCTATTATGGTGGTGCTTATAGGTATAGACACATACACATAAAGTGATTTTTTTTTTTTTTTTGGACCGGTAAGGAGATCACAGCCCTTGGCATGGTGGGGTCTGCACCATGCTCAGCCAGTGAGTGCACTTGCCATCCCTATATAGGATCCGAACCCGCGGCCTCGGCGCTACCAGTGCCTTACTCTCCCGAGTGAGCCACAGGGCCAGCACTAAAGTGATTATTTTTATCACTAACCAGAAAATCTTTGAATAACTATACTACTCACCTTTGGAAAGAGAATACATGTGCTTTTTTATAAGTAATTAAAGTGAGTTCACATGAGAAATCATTATCATAATAGGTAACGTTTGTGAAGCAGTTTATAATCTTCAGAGCCCACTAAATGAAATCAAATGTGATTTCATTTAGTGCAGTACCAGATGGAACAGGCTGGGCATGTGGTATTTGTAAAGCTAGGGCTTACAGACCCCTTGAGTCTGTTGCACAGATTGGGTTACAAACCCTCCACACGCAGGTCTGTGAGCTAGGTAATAGGAAAAGAAAAGGTTCTGGGAGCCATGCGTATAGAAAAATGACTGGGTTTTATTCAGATCTAGGAGCAACTGTCCTAAGGGGCCTCTCTCAGAGTTCTGAGAAGCACTGTGGATCAGAGCTGTTAGTCTTTTATACTTAAGTCCACAACCCTGGACACCTGGGTGCCCATACGCAATTCACATTAAGTAGTAACAAGGAACACCTGAGGATATTTACAGCAAATGCTCGGCAAGATTCTGAACATCCGAGTGGCCCTGACATTTTCCTATTTTTCCCAGCAATCCACCTCTTCAGGGTCCCTCACTGTACAATCTATGCGTTCAGAATCTTCCGCGATGTTCCTTTAGCAAGGATAAGTGACCCTTACATTCATACAACCTATTGTCTGTCCAATATGCCTTAAGGCTTGTCCTTAAGGTTTGTTCTGTAGTTTTGTTCTTTCAATTATTAGCCGCACATGTCCGGTTAGTAGTCATCATTGGTATGAAGTTCAGTGTATATTCAATAAGCCAACACACTGGTCACATGAACGTATGTCTGTATCCAGTTGACTCTGGTGCCCACAGCCAAAACACTATGGGCGAAAAGACAGA